CGTATGTCTCCTATGCCCCCCTGAGTCACTGTGCCTCCACTGCAGCCCAGGGTGAGTGCCTGCGAGTGAGTGAGTCTGTGCATGGACCCTTTAAAAGGACTTCTGGGTTTCCCACAGCCTTCCGTCCCACTGGGATGGTTAGAATCGCCACTGTTTTTCACAGTCAAATGTTGTAGGGGCTCCTCTTCCCAGTACCAGTACTCTTTGCTGGGGATCCTAGTGTAGGGCTGGGGTTCCTTGACCTTCTGTGGGGGAACCTCTGTGGCCAAGATACTCCCCTCGCTCATTCTCAATTGTCACATGCAGGTGTGGGGCCGGCCCATTCTGCATCTCTGCCTCTCCTACCAGTCTCAATGTGGCTTCTTTTTTATATCCTTTGTTATAAAACTTCTGTTCAGCTAGACTTCTGATGGTTTTCCAGGTTGATTATTCTATAATTTAGTTATAATTTTAATGTGGCCATGGGATGAGGGAAGTACAGCGTTTATCTACTCTGCCATCTTGGACCGCTCTTCCAAGATTTGTTAATCGTTTGATGTTCAAGGTAATATACTGAGGTAGAAAAGTGTTAAAATTCCTATTATAACATTAGGAAATTAACATTTATTGAATGACCACCTTCAGATTTTTAAATAATTTTCCAGTGAAAATTATAGGGGGGTGGGGGCGCGGAATGGAGACTCAGAGAAACTGACTGACTTCTAGATCCTATCGAAGGCTGGTACTGAATCAAGATTGGAATTCTACATATAAAAGTTCTATGTGTTATGTGTCTGCTAGTCCTGGAAGAGATCCTTTGCCAAAGAAGTGTTCATTTATAATGTACTTACAAAAGCTTTAGTCATTTAGAAAATTTTTCAACTAAAAATTCAAAGCACAATATATTTTTTCTCAGCCTTCATATATTCAGGCTGCTATTCCCTAGCATTAATCAAAGTTTAATGTAACATTTTCAGTTCAGGCCATTCCTAAAAGCATTTAGCACCTAAGGCAAATTACAGGGGAGAAGAAATCTTGTGGTGACATGTTTATTTGGTTATGGAATTGTTTAAGATGTAAGTCTGGTGCATCCTTAAAGGGTGAAAGGAAGAAAAGAGATGTCACAAAAGAGTAGAATGGGGCAGGAGAAGAGAAGGTCCAAGAGAGTATCGTTGCCAGGTCAACAGCCTTCCGCCCCTACTCCCACGGTGATGGTGGGGGAGCTGTGTGGGAGCGAGGTCTTTCTCACGACCAGCTGAGAGGCATCACCTATCTTCATCTCATCAGCTGGCCTGACCTCCATGGTCATATGGGCTCCTAAAGTGTAGCACTGGAGATGACCACCTGGCTCTGCTGGAAAATAGAGGAGGCTCTGCTTTGCACTTCCATGCATACTTGTTTTAGAGGATCTTTCAAATAAGTAACTCTCATAATACTTGTGAAAGCATATAAGAATCGGTATTCCTGTTTGTTGGGGGAATCGAAGTGAGCAATGATTTGGAATACAAGAAATTCAACTCAGACATTTGCAGGTAAAATTCTAACTATATATTCTAACTATATAGACTAGGGATTTCTAAGGTATCCAGAATTCCCTCATCTTTGAAAACAATGATGATAAAATAACAGCTAACATTTCTTTAGGGCTTACTATATGCCAGACACTATTTGAATATCCCTCCCCCTCCCTCCTTCCTCCCCCACCCTTTCGTCTCCTCCTCCCCCTCCCTCTCCCCCGTCCTTATATATATTCATCCAATCTTCACAACTTTGTTAGCATGAGTGTTTTATTCCTTGTCCCTCCTGTATAGAGGTGTAATCCCCTGCCTGAGTGCCCTGTCCCTCTTCCTTGCTTTATTTTTCTCTGTAGAAAACTATCACTCATACATATATAAAACTTATTTTATTATTATGTATCCCTTCTGAACCAATTATAATCTTTATGAAAGCAGTGGGTTAGTTTTATACATTTTTGTATCCCTAGTGCCTAGAACAGTCAGTATCTGGCACATGGTAGGTACTCAGTGAATATTTGTTGAATGAATGAATGAGTCTATTTTATAGATGAGGAAATTGTAAATTTTCCAAGATCGCAGTTAGTAATAGGACAATTATGGATCACTGTAATCATTTCTAAAGTCTTTGATGAAGCTTTTAGACAGACTATATTATACCTCCAGGAATATGAAATGACCTTTAAGCACTTGGATTTGGTGGTGTCTTCCTTTCTTGTAATCCCTAGGGCTCCATTTCATGAGCCTCTGAGCCCTTGAGCTTCCTTACAAATTGAACATTTTTTTCCTTCATTTTCACTCAGGTAACATAAAAAATGACTCATCTTTTATTGTTAAGATTTTAATAATAGGCAAGGCCCCAATTTTCATTTTGTAAATTTTGTCTTTGAGGCTATAGAAGCAGTGATACTTAGTGATATTGTAAACTCAAAGTGTTTAGTGTCTCCTCTTTCACTTTCCCTTGCAGCGGTTCTCAACCTGTGGGTCGCGACCCCTTTGGGGGTCCAACGACCCTTTCACAGGGGTCGCCGGGTACTCATATGTGGGCGTATCTGCACGTGGGCCTGGAGAAGAATAGAGGAGCAGTGTCTCGGTTCCTAAGACCATCGGAAAATGTGTATTTTCCGATGGTCTTAGGTGACCCCTGTGAAAGGTTGAGAACCGCTGCTCGGGAGCGTAGGTGACTGAGGGTTAGGCCATACGATTGAGACTTGGTCCAAGATGACTCAGTAAGCCCCCTTGTCCCAGAACTATTCATTACAATGTATTTCTTTACCCACTTTACATGCGCACGCGCGCGCGC